TTAATCATTTAAATCAGCTACCGTTAACTTAAACCTTACTGCATCAATGCCTATTGCAGTTGACCTGATAGTGGAAACCATTCCCACCAATTGCTCTGGATGGGCAGAGCAAATTGTCAAGGAGATGTCCTCTGCTTCAAAATACTCAACCTGTTGGAAAAATCTGCTGCCCGGAGTAGCCCAGATGAAAAGAGAAAAGTGAACAAGGTATCAAGATTATCTAAAGTTAAATACTTCTTTATTATATTGTGAACCATGCTTAACAATGCTTAGTTCTCCTTCCTCCCAAGCTGACCTGAATTTTTGTTGTCTCCCAAGCTGACCTGAAGGATTCAGTATTTTGTTTTGTTACAAGTCCTCATAGGCAATGTCATACTTAATTTTTGTTGGACAAACACTGTAGCGTTAGCACGAGCAATGTCATAAACTATTTATTTGTTTTGTTGGTTGTCTCTGAGCAATTAATTCAACTTTTTTAGTAAATGTGGTTTGGTATTGAGTCGCCGGTTGGCTTTGAATTCCATTTCCTCAGTTAGGTTTATCATGCATTGCGAGAGTATGTGATTAAGGGTCAACTTGTTCTGACCTCAGGTTATCTATTTTAGGGACTTTGCTGCCTTTCTGGTGGACCAAAGTTGCAATCTTTAGGCAAAGTGATCCTGGTGGCGCTGGCAGCCACCATGCATGTTGTGAGGTTCAAGCTTTACTGGTAGAAAATAAACACAAAGAAACAGGCTTAAATCATTCAAAATACTCTTCACTTATTATATGTAGAGATTCCATTGTGGAATGTTTTGCACATAACATGCATCAAGTAGCAACATCCGTGGTTAATTTAACATTATACTTGCAGAGTTAAAGTTCTTAAACTGGTGGTCTGTTCCTATTTTCGAAAGGCACTTATGTTACCATATGCACTTTCTGGATTTGATCCTCAAGTCAAGTGTGCTGAACTGAAATTGTACTCTGCATACAGTCCTGCCAATGTCGTGTGTTGGAAGCGCGCCATCTGCCTGGAATTCATTGGGAAGGTTAGCATACCAGATACCAAACAAACCAAAGGCTTCAACTTTCTAAGGAGTTCATCAGCTGTGACCTATGCTGATGAAACTCTACAGTTGCTCGCGTTTTTCAACATATAATGTGATGATCGTTTTAGCTATGCAGGCCGATGTGTTGGAGTACTATGATCAGACCGTCTCTTCTCGTAGCGGATCCTTCTACATCCCTGCAGTTTTCAGGGTACATTTGTGACATGTATATTGGCTTCTCTCAATTGGGTTATTGTTGAAGTGGCATCATCTTCTCACTATGCTGTTCTGGTGTTGTTCAGGTTCCACAGTTGCTGCAGGTAGTAAAGAGAAGAAGAGTTAAGCAGAGCCTTAGCCGTAAAAACATTCTTTACAGGGATGAATTCACCTGTCAGTAAGTACTGCATTACTTACTGCTTTAACTTCACAAAATTCCCCTTGTATGTGTAAGGTTGTGTTCGTTTCTCTCTCTGCATATCTCAGGCTTTATAGTTTCCCTTTTCATATCCTGAAACAAAATCCTCTTAGTTTTCCTCAAGTTTTAATTGAGAGATTAGTTTTGTATTGAGTGTCAAGAAAGTTCTCAATTTTCATCACCTGCAGATACTACAATAATGGAATGATATATTTTATCTTCTTTTCCAGTTTTTCAAGCCAGCAGCTTCATGCTTAATATATTCGGCGAGGCTTGAATGGGAGATTCAGGAGACGGCTTTGCCCTACGAAGGTGCCGTTGCTGGATATATCAAAATATGGTGCTACAGATTTGATTTGGAGCAATTGAACCAAGCAATTCAGATGAGTCTTTTCTGTTGCCTGATTGTAAGACTGCGTCAGGCGCTCATCGACCGGGTGCGCACTGGGGACATCGACGCCGCCATGAGGTGGACCGCCTCACCCGGGCCACCGTGAAGTGATTTCCCCTAATTGTCATACTGCTCTCGCTCGATTTGGTGATTGGTAGTCGCATGATGCAAATCCCATGTGATTTGGTCATGTCTTGTTGGGGGTACCAGAGACGCGTGATGTTTTGCAAGAAATCAAGTATTTTTTTTCTCAAATCCACATTTCTTCTCTCTCTTGACTTGGTAGATGCCAGATGTAAGACTCATGATATTCTTTCATGTCTCGCAGGGGGAGCTAGAATACACCTGAGATTTGCAAAAAGGCATGTTATTTTACCGAAATATCTTAGATACTTATCCTGTATACAGATCAACAGAATGGTGCTTTACATAACTTAATTAGTCTTCTACCCTGTTCAGGTTATACAAATTATGTTCTTGATGGACCTGCTTCAACTTAAGGAGTTTACCATTTCAGGCTAGCTACGTCAAATGATGCAAAGATCTATTAATTGTTTCAAATTTGTGTGCTCTTGCCTTGTATGTTAAAAGATTTCATTTCCTTGTGCGTTTGTAGGCCAATGATGCAATTGGAGATTGGAAGGAGGAAGGTGCTGCTGCAAGAAGATAAATTACTGATATGTAATTAGGTTCTATTTTTTCCTCTATTAGAGTACAGGTTCTTTTAGTGCAGCAGTGCAACATTTTGAAAAGCTAATAAAATTCATAGATGTCGCTAAGAATGCCTTCGCGCTGTTATTAATTTCACTGATGAGATCAAATCATGCATAACTTGGTACAAATTTATTCTGTCCATGATTTGCAGTGTGACCTTCTGGAAACTGGTCATCTATGTATGTCCTGGTGTTTCTATTCTACATTTATTTTTCATGACCTTTCATTTGGCTTCTTTTAAATTTGCTGTTGAACAATGAATGCATGATTGCATATCATCTTCAATAAGTGCTTTGTGGGCATCGTCAGATGGGTCTTAATTTTGTGTTTTAAAATCCCTCATTTTTTGTTGTTTCTTGTGTTTTGAGTATCTTTATTTTTATATCTAATGTAATGTAGAGATCTCTCCTTTAAGTCTCTTAAGGGTGATCTATCACAAAGTTTTGAGAAACATCTGGTTGTTTTGATGTGCATCTTTGAAATGTCGCCGTTGCGTTAGCACGGGCACTGTACTAGTAAACCATAGTAGCACACATCGAGATAGACCTAGATAGATTTATCTTAAGCAAAGTTTATTTTAGTACGAGCGTAGGTTATTTTTTAAGAGTCCTATAGCTCAACCCCGCTCAGATACGCTCCCTTCGCTATTACAATGTGGGGCCCATCAAGTTGCTACCCTTTCAGGAAAAAAAAATGCTACAATCAGATCAGCTCACTTGAACGGTAGCCATGCATGCATGCAAATGACTTCAAGAGAGGAAAAAAGGATAGCAGGATACTCAATGGTGCCATACTGCCATTAGTATTGTCATTTGGATTTCTCGATGCAAATTCTGCTAACAACAAAAAAAGTTGAAAATAGTAAATGGTGCCATACTGCCTATATAAATCAATTAAGATCAGAAGAATTATCCTCGTTTCCAAGATAGAAACAAAATAAAGATGTACTTGTCGGAGCTCTACACGCCTTTTACCTACGAAGTTGACAGCCGCTTCTCGAGATTTAGCCGCCTTTGAGTAACTGGCGCGGCTATCAAAATTATATATTTACCATTCGCGTTTGTACTTTGACAGTGGTGTTTGTTACTAGTGAGGAAGGTCATAAAGCTAAAATTAACCTGACGGCTAGGTGGTTGGTGTTGCGAATATTTGTCATGGCACGGCTCTTCACACAATGAACCGGCTCGGTAGTTGGATGCCAAATTGACTTTCTACTTCTTTCGCAAGGAAAAAAAACGTCCCTTCCTACCTTTCTATAGAAAAAAGTGACACGTGGTTTACTTATTAGCACCTAGCATATACTCCAAAAGGAACGAAGATTTATGACCTCAAATAGTTATACTATGAAAATATAATTAACGAACGAAGAATCTAATGATACTTATTTAGGATCATAAACGATATTATTTTATTATATAAATTTGGTCAAACTTTAAATGATTTGACTCTCCAAAAAAGTTGGAATGACTTATAATTTAGAACGGATGGAGTATTATCCAATGGCAAGGATGATAATACTAGTGAGTATAATGACTGTTTATCGAAACTTTGTTACAGTTCTAGTGTACTACTACATCTGTGTATTAACGTTTCTGGTAGATACAGCAGTTTCTTTTTCCTCTGATAATATTGAGGTGAAAAAGTTAAGAACGAGATCAACAACTTCGAGGAGGAGCTTAATTTGACTCAGTTGTTGTTGAAGTTCTATCCTTCATGTACTGTACAGTTAGTCGCCAGCTTGTACGGCAAATAAAGGATAAATAAGGTCAACAATGCAAGCAGCTAATAACCATGCATTCAAAAGCACGAGCGTCATAAAACACACGAATTACCACTTTCTGAGAAGCTTAAAGGTAAATTGTGGCGGCGTGCTTTTGGACGTGGCGGCACAACCGTGGAGGGTCACGTCCGGTCATTTTGTTTACTTACGCTACGAGAAGAGGCCAAAGATACAAACGCAGTAGACAAGGAAGAAGTCACCGTGCATGCCATAGGGGCATGGTGATTCATCACGGACGAATAACAGTAAAGGATCGAGACATGGGCAAATATCATCAAGAAAAAAACAGCATGGTTGGTAGCCTAGCGAGCCAGAAATCAAGTCAAACCTCATAGCTTTGACCAGGCATAAGCATGCATGAATCTTCGTAGCTCAAAACCCATGTTCTAGGACAAGTTCAGTACACAAGAGCTAGCATCCGCCGCATCACATGTGTATATATATAGAGAGCCCTAGCTACTTTTCATGTTGCAAGAACATAAAGGAAGCAGGAGCTAGCATCCATAGATAGCAGCTGTGCTAATCTAGCTATTGATCAAAGAGTAACAAGAACCAGATTAGATATACATAGCAGCTGATCAGCAAGGATCTAAACTGAACCAAGCAAGCACTTATTGTTGCATGCCGACTAGCTCTACATCGTTGGTGGTGCAAGAAGAACAACACTACATGGCAAAAGAGATCATGGCTGGTGGCGACCATGGCGAAGGAGACGAGGTGGTGCTTGTGGGAGACGAGGAGGAGGAGGAAGACATGCTTCCCGGGTTCCGGTTCCACCCCACTGACGAGGAGCTGGTCACCTTCTACCTCCGGCGGAAGGTGGCCGGGAAGCGCCTTAGCATCGAGATCATCAAGGATTTCGACATCTACAAGCACGACCCATGGGATCTTCCAAGTAAGTAGCTAGCTAGCTAGCTTGATTATGCAATATACACAAACTCATGCATGTGTGATGATTACTCTACTACAATTTCATGCAAGATCGTTTTTTATATGCTTGCAACAAATAATTCATGCATGAACTGAATGAACAAATAAAAATTGTTGCTTGGATCGGAGATATAAACTTTGGACTTTGGAGCAATATAATGATGGATAACTGATCACTGATGCATGCATGTATGCAGAGTCGAGCTCGATCTCGGGAGAGAAGGAATGGTACTTCTTCTGCCTGCGGGGGAGGAAGTACAGGAACAGCATCAGGCCCAACAGGGTCACCGGCTCCGGCTTCTGGAAGGCCACGGGCATCGACCGCCCCATCCCTTCCGCCGCCTCCGGCCGCGCCGGCGACCCCATCGGCCTCAAGAAGTCGCTTGTGTTCTACCGTGGCAGCGCCGGCAAGGGCACCAAGACGGAGTGGATGATGCACGAGTTCCGCCTCCCGCCGCGCGCCGAGAGCACCCACACTTCGCCCAGCGAGCAAGAGGCGGAGGTGTGGACCATATGCCGGATCTTCAGGAGGAACTTCACCTACAAGAAGCACCCGCAGCAGCAGGTCGCCGGCAGCAAGGTGTCCGCCGCCGCGGCCGTCGTCGTGCAGCCCGGGGAGTCTAGCTCCGTCACCGGCAGCCTCGAGTCGGACACCGGGGACGAGTACACGAACGACCTGCCACAGCCCCCGCTGCAAGCTCCGGCGGTGATAGACGACTACGGCTACGGCTACGGCCAGCAGCAGCAGCAGCAGCTTCAGCAGGCCCAGTGGAACAGCCACGCGCTGCATGCAGTGGCCACGGCGCCGCTGCTGTCACCGACGATGGCCGCGTTCCACCACGGCGTGCTCAGTAGCCCTGCTGCCGGCGGGCTAGACGACATGTACTACAAAGATGGGTCCAGCTGGGACGACATTGGCAGGATGGTGATGGAGCTGACGGACCCCAGCCCCAGTGTGTTCTCCATCTATGACACTAGATCATATGCATAGGAGACTTGCAGGAGGCTGTATTGTTCGTTCTTCGTTCTGTGCATGCTAGATTTTTTGGTTGGGAGTCCACTGCAGCTCCACCACACCACGCAGCACCACAGCAGCGAAGAGAGTTTCCCAGATGTATTATGTTGTCAAAACAATTGTATCGATGCCGATGCATATAGTATACATCGTATTGGATATATGGTGTTATTTGTTTTTTTTATAATTATATATACGATGTTATTTGTTTGTTCCCAATGTACTAGAGAGACGATATTAATTTACTCGTGTGACATCATCATTACCTAATATAATGAGCAATTAAACCTCGTGAAATATGGTCCTAGCTAGGCTAATGAGATTTATTTTCCTCTATGGTTCATATTTGATGTGGTTTCACCACATAATATAACCTGGTCCAAATTCAAAACACATTTTGACTTCACTGGTCCAAATGTGAGGTGAAAAGCGTGGGCTGGACAGGTGCACAATGAAACAATGGCACTTTCTTACCTGGTGCAAAGGAAAGTCTAACATACATGTGCGAGTAATATATATAGTGCTTCCTCCATTCTAAATGGTAGGTACTTTAGCTTTTATCCCATGTCAAGGTTACCTAACTTTAACTAAATGTATATAAAAAAATATATTAACATCTACATCATGAAATTAATACACTATTAAGATATGTTTATGATGGATTTAATGAAACTAAATTAATGTTGTACATACTTATGTTTCTATGAATTAAGTTGGTTAAACTTAGAGAATTTTGATGAAGGAAAATTAAATCAACCAACATTTTGAAATGGATAGAGTGAGTATGTTATAATGTGATTACCATCAGTCACAACTAAGATTACTACAAGATGAGCAAAATGGGTTTAAGTTTTTTCTTAAAAAAATGGATAGAATTCTATCTTTAGACATCCTCTTACAAAGATGCATCATATCATACTTAAGATCATTACAAAAATGTGCCATTCTTGCTATCAGCCACGTTGCAGCCTCCAAGGCTGGCGGAGCATGTCGGATACAATGTGTCATTGTCATTGTCATTGTCATTGTCATTGTCAGCCACGTCGTGGCACTATTATATTGAATAACACACCAAACTACACCTAAACCAGAGTGAATGGTGGAAGTTAAGAGATCTAGATCGGGGATGAGAAGAAAGAATAAAGGTTCAAGGGTGATGTGTGAAGGGGGAGGAGTTGAGGATAGCCCTGGTGCCACCACGTCGCGATAGTGACATGTGATTTCGATGGCCCTAGCGGTACAAAAGTGGTAGGGGGAAGGCGTGGCACTAGAGAAACAAGCTTTACAATTGCCACATTACAACCGGCAATACATGAACCGACAACGATGGCATGTACCAAGCATAATATGTTTATTTGCTTCACTTGCCAAGCATAGTAGCATGATACAAATTCAAGAATGCAAATATTTTGCATTTGGTTGATTTGATTTTTGGTAGGTCTTTACCAATCGAATAATTGGTAGAAGGAAGCACACCACAATGGAGGTTCGCTTGCAATGATGGTGGAGGTAACTGGCATAGATCTATGTTTGTGGTGCTCTTTGCGGTGGTAAAATTCACTATACGTAGGCGATAACCACAACAAGAGCTGCTTGTTTTGCCAATTATTTGTTTCATTTGATAGCACAAATTCAAGATTTTATTGTGAATCCACTTGCTTGTAGAGTGAATCAATTATGTGATGATGAATCATTATATGTTGAATCGGAGTTATTGCTTTACTTCTCTTAAGTGTGCATCATTTAGTTCTTTTGAATATTTGTGATGTTGAATTAGGGTTGGATCTGTAAATGATGAAGCTAGAGCGGCTTCATTATTTAGCTAGACATGATAGTAGATCATTTTTCTTTATGGACAAATATAATGACACAAAGAACACATCCACCAAATTCAACGCTCATACATAACTACCTTGTATGGCATATTCTCCCTTTAGAGCACCTCGGGCACAACACTAAATCAGGGCCTCTACTTGTCTATATATAGAGGCTCCTTAGGAGGTTGATTTCTACACCCAACTGTAGTAGCGCCACCCTAAAACTCAGCCCCTATTCATATTTCCCTTATTCCAACATATTGATCGTGAATATGCATCATTTCACCTCAATAACTCAATGATTAATATTTGTAATACATATATTTCAGCCACAATAATAAGCTTAGCAAATTCAAACATGGCACTTCAAATTCAAAATACAAATTTAAACATAAATTTAATTTCATATGTACTATAAGCAAGCTGGCCCAGCTGGGAGGTGCTCAGTAAGCTCCTCTGTGAAACATGATCTGGCCGGTCTAACCAGGAAACTCACAACTAGTAAGAGCAGCACAAGGATGGCCGAAATCACAGCTTAAGTCTTGATCTTGACCTGTCAAACTTGCTTTCACTACAACTTGTAACCATAGCAGCCAGCAGGGCCTATGTATACGTGACACGTACCGTACGTAACCTTGAGCAGCTAGCAAGACGGCTATAGCTAGCTAGCTAGCTAGAGAGCAAAATCAGATTAGCGTGCTTGCTGATTGGCCAGAGGCTAAGAAGATCAGCACAAGCTTTATTAACTTTGTCGTCTAATTAATGAGTATACTACTAGTATTTGGAGGCCGGCCTGACGAATAGAAGAAGGTCACCATCTGATCCGATCCATCAGAGACAGATTCCAGCACTTAGCGTACGGTTTCGCGGATGTTTCGAGCTCCAGACTCCTCGTCACGTTGTCGCTTTCAGTTTCAGCCAGCCGAAACAGCGGCAGGTTTAGGTGAGCAGCAGATCCAAAGGAGAAAGGGAAAACCTCAGCATCCGCGGATGTTTCGAGCTCCAGACTCCTCGTCACGTTGTCGCTTTCAGTTTCAGCCAGCCGAAACAGCGGCAGGTTTAGGTGAGCAGCAGCTGCCAAAGTCAGTGTCAGCTAGTAAAACATTTCCATTCTCTTTCCACAGCTAGTCCCTGACCATGGCTTGTGTCCAGTCCAAGCCCCGGCGGGCCGGGGCCTCGATCGATCGACACGCACGTGGAAGTGGAACTCAATCCTGTTCCTGTTTGCACAGCGATCGATCGAGACAAGAACGTCGCCGTCGAAGGAAGAATCGTCCGGCCGTCTGGACCGTCAGGACCATCTGATCCGGACTTCAGCTAGCTAGAGAGGCTAGCAGCGGAGAGCACAGCCTGTTCGTATACATGTTGCCCTAGCTAGCTTTTTCCTGCGATCCTGTACTACTACATAATAATAATAATAATAAAAAAAAGAATTTTGCTAGATATCTGTCAGACTGTTTTTGTTGTTATTTATCTGTCAGATTCTGGGCCGTTGATTTGTTTGGAGATTCGTGCGGCTGTTTGGGTCCGCCACGCTAACGGGTCCGCCACACTAACGGGTCCGTGAAATAGAACCTTTGAAACCCGTTAACCTTATCTTTTCATCTACCACGGCATTTTCCCCCAATCCCCTCCGCTTCCTCGCGCGGTGGCGCAGGCACCGCTGTCGGCTCGCTTTGCGCCGCGCCAGGCGGTGTGCGGGGCGGAGCTTTCGGGGGCTGCCGCGCTGTGCTGCGGCGAGCTGTTGTTGGGTGCCCTGTCCACGCGCTGCACTCCCCATGTGTCGCGGCGAGCGGTGGTTGGAGCAGGAGCGGGAGTGGGATCCTCGGGCGTCGCTTCCCCGGTGCCGACAGCCATTGAGGAGTCTCTTGGTGCTGTTGATTTTTGTAAGTGTATTTTGTTCTTCGCATGGTCGTTCGTTGATTTTGATTTTGTTTTGAGGAGCTGGTGGGCGAAGGCGGGGCGTCGGGTGAGGGAGGGCGGCGCGGTGGGCAGAGCCGGATGCGCTGACGAGGGACGGCAGTGCGCTGCGGGGGCGCCGGGTTGCCAGTTGACTACGGGCGGGGGCGCTGGGGCCGGGGGCAGCGATGTGGCGGCTAGCCGTCTCACTCTGTCCGTTGTCTGTCGGTTGCGACCGAGGACAGGGATGGGACACGCCTGGTGTGGTCGTTTCGAGTTACCACCTATGATTAAATTTCTAGTATTACGTGTCTATCTCGGATAGTGTGTTGAGAAGATATGAGATTTATACTGGTTCGGACAAAAAGTCTTTACGTTCAGTTCATCGCTGTTGCTCGTGTTACTACCACTAAAAATTTATAGTATGGGTTATAAACGGGCGAGAGAGGGAAAGGATTCCAAGTCTCTGGTGGAAGGAGTGACGGGGTGCTGAGGGCTCGGTCGCTGCTCAAGCATGCGTTCGTGCTCTTGTGCGGATCTGGATCGGATCTCGATGGGTCGATCCCCTTCATAAAGCGCCCTGCTTTCTCTTTTATAGACCAAGAAAAAGTGCGAGTTACAACAGAGGAAAAGGAGAAGAACGAAAGAGAGGAAGGCTTCCAGGATCGCCGGGTCCTTCTTCTCCTTCATGCGGGTTCCGTCGATCCTGTAGACGTCAACAGGGACGACTCCACGTCGTAGCCCTGTTCATCACTGACACCATACGCAGGCGTCGTCTACCGATCATGGCGTTCCATTCCGTCCCGACGAACGTCGTGATGAACTGATGCGCCTGTCAACATTCGTACGATGGTTAGGCAGAATAGCACCGGCACGCCCGACGTTGTTCTTGATGTGAACCTTCAGGTATGGTCCGTCATGGCCACGGGTTACATCGAGGCATGCCAGTCCCTTCCCTGCTGTCAGAGTTTTGACCCAGACCCATACGCTTGCACCTGGAGTGGTTGGCGGCAGTATGGGTCCCCGTCGGATGAGACGGAGCACAAACCTAAGGGGTCAGGCGAAACGGAGCCCGCGGCCCCGGGGACAGGCGAGGCAGAGCCCACCCCTAGAGGTCGGGCGAGGCGGAGTCCATGCACCAGGGGGTTGGGCAAGGTGGAGCCCGCACCCAAGGGGTCGGGCGAGACGCAGATCGCAGCCTCAAGGTCGGGCGAGGCAAAGCCCGCCCCCAGAGGTCGGGCGAGACGGAGATCGCGGCCT